TTTTTAATGAAACATTTATAGAGTATTCATCATCACATTTCAATGAACCTAGGACTAGGCAGAGACCAAATTAGTTTTTGGTAAATATTTATGCTTATTAATCACCTAATTAAAATAATTAATTAACACTGATATCTCAATTACTGATCATCATCATTTGAATAAAATTTGGTACATAAATGCTCTAGAACAATAGACAGGCTCGATTTATTTTGGGTTGAAATTTGTTCATATTAATTCTCTAATAATAATTCATAGTTTTTTTGTTAGTCCCCGTTCGGACGCAGTCCGAAAACGGGGACTTATGTTTTGCCCTGCGTGCGTCCGTCCGTCCGTGCTTCTGTGCGTCCGTGATCACCTGTATCTCGAACATGCATGGACCGATTGAGTTCAAACTTCACACACACAAGGTACATCATGTCACAAATATGCACATGCATTTTTTTCATGATCCGATTAACGATAGCCGAATAGCGGCCATTTTAAGGCCGAAAATGCATTGAAATCGCACATTTTCACCATTCCGGACCCGGATCTCAGTTATGCATGGACGGATTTTGTTCAAATTTGGTACATACATTAAACATAATAGGACCTTGATGCACGTCTTTTTTTTTTTTTCGGATCAAGTTCGAAATGGCCGACTGGCGGCCATTTTGTTAAAGAATTCAGTTCTGGATCCGTATCCAAGACATGTCTGGATTGATCAAGTTCAAACTTCACACACACATGGTACATCATGTCACAAATAGATATGTGCCTTTGTTTCATGATCTGCTTAACAATAGCGAAATGATGGCCATTTTAAGGCCGAAAATGCATCAAAATCACGTATTTTCACAATTCCAGAACCGGATCTCAGTCATGCATGGATGGATTTTGTTCAGATTTAGCACAATGTGTTGTACATATGCAGGTGCATTTCGGTCATGATCTGCTTTGAATGTATATGTCACTCAAATATGAACGGAACGGGGACGTGTCATTGACAATGACTTGTTCTAATTAGTTTTACACTCAAATCTGTTCATATCAGTTACCTGATTTACATAATTAGTTTTCAGTTATTCCATCAATATCTCAAGTACAAGTAATTTTGAATTAATTTTTAATGTGTCTTCAATACTCTAAGCTTGCTTTGATTAATAAATGTGTTTGGATTTCCTTCCTGTCAATCAAAAGATGCAACCAATGTGTGTTGAAAATCGTACCGGTACATTTGCATAATGTTCAAACAAGGTAAAAAAAAGAAACCAGTTAAATTTCAACCCCACTTTGTTCTTGAAGGTAGAATACTGCTTAATATTTATACATTTTGTGTTTGTATACATTTTGCATTTACAGAGACATACAACACAACTATGTGAAGAATTAGCCAAACTCAAAAGACCAGAAGACTTTGAGGCAGAAGAAGAGGATGATGACGACGACGACGATGATGATGAAGACAATGATGACGATGGCGGTGATGATGATGTTGTTGAAGACACTGCAAGTGCAAGCTTTGTAAAGTCATCGGATGTCACTGTTAATAATCTTAGTGATCTAGGGGATCCAGGAAAAGAAGACAGTGCAGCATCCGGATCTGGGGACGATGGCAAAAGTGACCTGACACAGGCTCCATCAATGACAAGTTTAGAATCTAGCTCAATATCCAGTAACATTGCAGTGGGATATGACGAAATAGATTCTGGACAGTAATTATTGTAAATTTATAAGCGTATATTTGTTGTGACTAATAATGCGATGTGTTCCGTCTGTATTATTTGATAAACACACGCCCTTATTACAGCAGTTTATTCAGCCGGAACACCTTGTGTATGCTGCGATGAACCAATTCTCAACACTAATTATAAATTGTGATTTTAAAGACAAGATTCTGTCTGTAAATTGATATTTACTCAACAAAGTACGACAACGTACTTTGCAGTGTCTACTATATTTTATTTTTTACTTCTTGCACAGATTGCAAGAATGCAAGAGGCCTCTGTATATGGAATTTTCTTTAGTGGATTTTTTTTTTTTTCGTTAATGCAATGTATGGGACATTATTGTTTATCATTTACTGTTTATAATCTTTTAAAAAAATCAGCAGCGAAGTATGTATACCCTGAAAAGATAGAGGCACACTTACCTTGCTGAGTACAATCAGATATCTAGAAATAAATAAGTAGGGGTATGTGATAATGTGACCAGTGAAAGATAATAAGTGCAATGCATTTGCTGGAGTTAAGCTGTGGAGTATTTTGTGATTTGATTGTTGTAGATCATTAACTTTACAGCGACCGTAAAATGTATTTTGTGGACAGACATTGTTTACTTTGGTGCTCTGCCAATTATAATAAATATTGTAAATGTCTGCATTTGATTTTCTTTACATAAAATATTCAAGAGATATGCATCTTTTGTTAAACCTCACATCATTGGTGGGGGTACTGTCATATAAGGGTGGAACAACAAAAATATGTTAATATTGAATGGGGGGACATTTTGTGTTAAATACTGAGTTTAATTTAGTTATAACTTGTAAAAATTAATTTTGCAGCAATTTATGTTATTTTTTCTAGACAATTTAAACATTTCTTGGCAGTTGGGTCTTTAAAATATGCTTGAGTGTAGTTTTAGATGTCAGATCCCAATTGTACTGCGTTTACTGGTTTTATATATATGAGGTCCAGTCATTTTAAGAGTGAATGACAATGATAACCAAAGTGGGAAGGGAGGGGTTATTATATGATTTTGTACTCATCTCTGTAAGTGTGTTTGTTATCCGTGTCCCAGACATGCCCATGTTTTGTCTATTTGTATCTGTAATCACCTGCAGTGTTATGTATGTAGTCACAATATTTGAAAATATCAGATGAATGAAAGAAATTAAAAAAAAAAAACAGTAATACAAATTATTGTCAGTGTATATCTTTATCAGGAGTAGTTTGTGAGTAGAAATTACCACCAACCCTGGCTATATTCCATATAATGAGAATATAAGAACTCCAATTTTAAATGTCTCAAATGCCAGCGTCTTATCTTTGTAAGGTCTTGTTGAGAGAGCCATGTAACATGATTCTTGCCCCTCATTATGACTTTGTTTCACACTCGTCTTTTGCATCCACTGCTCTATGTAGCCATCCTTTTTGGTTACAAAAGATTCTAGAAAGTGTGAAGTAAATCATTTATTCACAGGTGAAAGTGGATTGGACACATTTTGTGAATGAAGACATCATTAATCTCTAGAACTGCCATGAGTTGGACCTCGTATGGTAAGAGTAAAGGACAACTGAGGGGAAAAGTATTGAAAAAAAGGAATAATGTTTGTTAGGGTTTGGGTCTCTGTGTAGAGAGACCAGTGGAAGGCTTCAGTAGTTGTGTTACTGGACATTATGAGGACTATATATATATATATATCGGTATGTCTAATAATCTTGGGCGTAAAGGATTTATGTTATCTGGCAAAAGAGACTGCTCATGCCATTTTTTCAGGGTTTCAGCAAATATAAAAGTGAAAGGAATTGTGTTGATTAAAATTTGGATCAGAAGATAATCATTACCTTGCCCGTACCATCAAAGATGGAAGGAAAAGGTATATTAAGAGAAAAATTTTTGTCCGGCGTTATCGTCGTTGATAATTGTTATTGTGTACACAATAACTACTAATTCTATTCCAAACTTTATCAAACTTGGTCACCTTATTCATCAGTATAAAATCTTCCCCGAGTGTGAACAACAGATGTCCTGTATGAAAGTATCATGCAAAAATTGAGAAAATCTGATAAAATATTTGGAGTCTTTCTACTTGACTGATCACTTACGATACACATTCAAAGGTAACTGATCTCAGTGGAAATATGCATTCTTGAATGTGTTCAATGAAGCAAATCATTTATCTTGCAATAATATCCTTGGTAATGTATCTCTCAAATCCCATGGGAATAATATACTGGGTTTCAAAACAAACTCGTGGAGAGATTTTTTGCACAGTCTGATACACATTTGCAAACCTACCAATAAACTCTTCACAGAAAACAAGATGTCAGAAAATCAATATAAGCACTACTATGAACTGGGTGCCAAACTTTGATCAAGATCTGAAGCTAATAGAAAATCTGTTCAGTTCCAAGTCAAAAAAAATACATGAAAAATACATAAAAAGCATAACATTGCATCCACATTTTTAAAAGAAAATTGTACTAAAAATACGTATTCTGTATTTGACAAACAGTTCATTCGACAAATGAAAATTCACAGGAATTTGTTTCAGCTAATAGAACATAATGTTAGAGCTTTTATAATACTAATTTAAAAACTCACTTCAAAAACAAAGATTACAGTGTTTGAAGTTGAAGATTCTCGGGAGGCAACAGTACTGTTGACTTCTCTCTCCACTGGACACCAACTAACTATTTAAGTTGATTTGCATACAAAGCAGAGTTTGCAACATATAATACTTTTCATATAATACAGTAGTCACACAATGAATATAATATGGCAGTTCATATTTGTCTCAGTGAATCATTAATTTTTGAGAGACACCTCCACTAAACAAAATACTACCAGTGACAAAAGCCAGCTAAGATTTTCTGTTATCTTCCATGTTTTATTAGCTCCGCTGTCGACTTTGTCGAGCGGAGCTTATCATATGAGTGATTGTCCGTCGTCGTCCGTGTCAATGTTTTACTTTTTCGACTTCTTCTTGAAAACTACAAGCCTGAATGCTTTGATACTTGGTGTATATGTACCTTGGGTAGACCTCTCTCAGATTTGTTCATTTCATGATGATATCTTCAATTCTCTAATTTTGGTGAATATTTTTGTCATTTTTAGTAAAAAGTGATATTTTCAACTTCTTGTTGAAAACCGCAAGTCCAATTGCTTTGATATTACATATATAGGTACTACATGTGGACCTCTCTCAGATTTGTTTCATTTTCGTAATGATATCTTCAATTCTCTAATTTTGGTGAATATTTTTGTCATTTTTGGTAAAAAGTGATATTTTCGACTTCTTGTTGAAAACTGTAAGTCCGATTGCTTTGATATTACATATATAGGTACTACATGTGGACCTCTCTCAGATTTGTTCATTTTGTGATGATATCTTCAATTCTCTAATTTTGGTGAATATTTTTGTCATTTTTGGTAAAAAGTGATATTTTCGACTTCTTGTTGAAAACTGTAAGTCCGATTGCTTTGATATTACATATATAGGTACTACATGTGGACCTCTCTCAGATTTGTTCGTTTTGTGATGATATCTTCAATTCTCTAATTAATTTATTTTGGTGAATATTTTTGTAATTTTTGGTAAAAAGTGATATTTTCGACTTCTTGTTAAAAACTGTAAGTCCGATTGCTTTGATACTATTCATATTGTTCATTTTCTAATGATGTCTTCAGTTCTTTAATTGAAATGTGCATTGCTAACAGCGGAGCTATCTCAGCCGATAGGCTGCTTGTATTTGACAATTTAATTCATATTATCATATTGCTGGTGTTATCGATTATCGATTGTTTTCATCTATATATTTATTTTCATGCATTTCAGACTCAGCTTCTTCTTTACTGGGAAGATTACATGGTACATCATCAGATTCCACAGTTGATATAATTTATCAGTTAGGATTTACCCAAGATGATGGCACAATACTAAGGTAATTGTTACTATGCTGTTTATTTGTGATGGTTCATCACAGTGCGATAACTCCAAAAGTAATTCTAAACCTTGTATTATTATTATTATAGAGTGAAAGCATTAGCTGACTGGATTGGTGATACAGCTAGAGTAGCTTTACAGAAACACGGTCGTGAACATGGTGGTTCATTTCAGCGGGCTCCTAGAATGCTGTCGGCAGCTGATCAAGGGCTATCAATGCCTTCGGCTGCGCATGTGCACTGTGTTGCCGCTATACTATGGAAGAGCTATGAGAAACCAGTGGAGTATGATCTTCCTTCAGTACTTACACGGGAACTGTTCAGGTAAACACCCACCCACTCACTTTAATACAAACTAGCAAGGAGAGTAGCATTTAACATACTAACCGTGAATTACAGTATATTACGATATGTCATACTATGTAATTCTAACTTGCATGTTTGATTATGTTTTCAGTTCTGTTTATGAATGGTCTATGGTGCTACCACATAATTCAACACTTAAGAGGGCTGTAGATTCTGTAATCTGCGCAATCTGTTATATACAGCCAAAGTTCTTTAATACATTGATGGAGTGGATGGGAATCATTATTGAAAGAGATGAAGAAATTGTCAGTGCTTTAACAGGTATATAGACTTCATTCATGTTCTTTCCTGCCTGTTTAGAACTTCTTGCATGTGTCATTTGAACAGCATTCTGGCCAATAGAATGGCAGCAGCTCATCTGAACTAGTACAAGAAACATGTTGCTGTTGTCAGCCACTAGTAAATATTCAGTTACATGTAGATTACTAGTATGTACTTTCAATACTCAATATGTGCGTCTTTGATTACATGTACTGCAAGACAGAGATGGTCTTTTGTTTTATATTTGTTAACAAATACAATCCACTGTGTGAAATTTATGAAGAAAAAGCAGCGCCAAGTCCAAAACACTTTGTCGGACTGGCAACAGTATTTCAAATTTTGATTTTGGAAATGTAAATGTCTTCAATTTTGATGAATCGTGGAGAATGTCCGAATAGTTTTTCACCTTTAATAATTTGTTTTCACAGATGACAGTAAAGATAGAGAAAGAAGTGCGTCAATCACAGATGAAATCAAGGAAGCTCATCAAGCCAGTGGTGGAGTAGTAGATGAAGTACCGCTGGTCTTACAAGAATTTGCACATATGATGTTGGATGAAACTCACCTACAAACACTTGCTGTTACGTGTCAGTCTGCTACAGCCATTAAGCAGTTACTGGATTCTGGATTCCCAGCTGTTTTGGCACAGGCATTGTTGGAATTTTGTACCAGAGAGATTGCTCGTACTATAGAAGGTGTGACAGGTGATCAAAATGTAGAGATTACAAGACCAAAAATGTCATCACCAAGATCCCCCCGGTCACCGAGGGGGAGAAGGTCTAGTATGGAGTCTGACGGGGGCTACTTGTCCATAACAGCAGATCTCATTGCCCCTGTGTTGAACTTCTTTGCGGAAGTATCAAAGGAAGATATGATGAAGGAATGGTTAGGTGGTGAAGAAGGTAACATTTTCTGGCCGGCTTTATTGACACTGCTTTGTAACACTAGTAATAATGCTGTACAGCCTACAACGGTGTTTACAAGCCCCAAGAAATCTCAGGTATTAAGCACTCAGCACAGGACTGCCATTGAAACGACCACTGTCAAGTACTTCTGTCAAGTCATCTCAGGTCATCCATCAAATCAACAGCTTGTGGCAAGTGTACTGTGTGACGTTATCCGCAGTAAGAGTTCACAGACCAGTATGTCGGGCTCGGCCATCTCTGGGTTCACACGCAGACTTTTCTTACAGTTGATGTTGGAAGATGAAAAGATATTGATATTCATTGATTCACCGTGTCAGCTGTACAAAGGACGTAACAATGCAACGGCCAATATTGTACAACATCCAAGATTTGGTACTGGACACAAGTTCAGGACGATTGACGTCAAGTTGTCAGCATCATGTTCTGATGTTCTTTCGAAGGTGTCAGGTAAACAACATTCCAGTTCATTTTTAATAAATACAAACTCAGACATCTCTATCAAAGATATTTTCACAGAAAAACTGAATTTGGTTAAGTGAAATTACTAGTATCCAATCACGTTGGGCCCAATCAGCAGACACATTCTATACAGGCTGACAACTATAACCCATGCACTGACTGCACAAGAATGTACATTATCAATGTGAACAAGAATATTCAAAGGTGCTGTTACAGAAACAGAGGATTCCACAACAAAACTCAAAATTTCAGCAAACATAAATAATTTCAATGTTCTAGGCAAAAACTAGCTTAGATTATGAACTAATAGCATTCAGGACCAAATTCTAAACATGTGGGAAGATCAGGGGCAGAGAAGTGAATTCTGATTACTAATATTCATAAAAAGGCAATCAGTGTATTGATATAGATTTCATGGCATAACAAGTAATATTTAAACAAGGATGTATCCAATGCTAGACTCAGGGATGTGTTGGTTTACGAATCAAATTCATAGTTGTAATAACTGAGTGTATTACCTCAAAGTTTCTTTTTTAATTACAATCAACTTATTGATTGACCCATCAGATACGCCATCCCTTACTGCGAAGTTGATTGAATCAAGAGAAAAGCGGCAGAAAGAAGAGTTGAGTAAAATGGAAGAGAAACCAGTTCTACCTCCGGCAGCAGCACCCTCAGAAGAAGAACCACAAGAGAATGGTACATTAGAAGGTATACAAGGATCTATGGAAGTATTGGAAAATCTAAGTATTTCCGCAGGTAAGATCCTTGCTGGATCATATCATGTGGAATCCTTAGGCTGCTTTATAGGCTAAGCTTTTAAGCGCTTATAAAAGTGATCAAGCCACATTCCTGCTGCGAGTGGTGATTGAAAGCTGACATACTTTTCCTGCTTGCAAGTAAATAAAAAAAATAGCTGCCCACTTTAGAATTGATTATCCTAATCAAGTATTATTGCTCAATCTACATCATTGAGTGATAGTTTTCGTAACACAGTGCGATCTTTTAGAGATTTTTTTAATTATTTTGCAGGTATAAAGGCTAAGGCTAAGAGAGTTGATACTAAATCAGGGGTACCTCCACGACCACCAAGCAGACGAGGTAAAGCATCCACTGAGAAGACCACAACACTAGATCCTATGAACATACCTGTGTTATCACTGTATCATAAACTAATACCAGGACAAGCATTGCCTAATGATTTAACTATGGCACAGTTAATAGTACTGTTACAAGAACGAGGACTGCCAGCTGGTTATCCATCTATTGAATTCTCCATGAAACTGAGTGCTCGGCGATTTAGTTCAATGGCCAAACCTGACAGCGCCAAGAGACTGAAAACAGATAAAGGTGACTATCCTGTTTCCAACTTGTAACAGATGGGTCCTACTTGCTATATTTGATCTAAATCAAAATTTAAAAAAAAAAAGCGTCTGTGTCACATTTATTAAGATACATTCAATAAACATTTGTCCTTGGTACTATTCCAGTATTTACGCCCTAAGATCACATGCCACACCAGTGATGATTGCATTTAAATTATTCTGACAATGAACTTGTATCATGATTTTTGGGGGGAAACAAGACTACTTAGTTTTCTGAATGTCTATCTTTAACATAACTTGGATGTCAGTTCATTATTTTTTCTGCATGGTGTACTGATCATATAGTTCGAAATGAGAATGCATGTCGCTTTGTTATCAAATCCTAATAGATGCTAACAGTGAAGAATTAGTTCTGGTGGCACCAACTCATCAAGCTATTCATGACCAGCAGCCAGTTGATCCAATACCAGATGAAGTGCTTCTTGATTCACCCAGTATGCCATCGGTGTTGCAAGTGTTTGCAAGTATGGGCGGGCTAGCACTAATAGCTGAGCATTTACCACTACTGTATCCAGAGATATCAAGACAAGCATCGGGTCCCGTTATCGAGAAAGGTTCTGAATCTGCTGGGCTGAGTGGAAAATCAGAAGCCTGGGTAACTGTGGAGCAAAATGAAGATGAGCTATATGAGGTACCGGTAAGTTCCTGTCATTTTGCAAGATGTACAACAATGCTTGTAATAATGCCGTAGAGTATTATACTGTTTATATATCAACATGTTGAAACCGTAGTGGAGGTGGCCTAAACCCTCCTCTTGATCAGTGTTATCTGTACATATATTTGTGATACACACTGGCTTATAATGTTCAGACTCAAATAATCAAATCACATTATTCTGCTGCAAACTACATGGTTTATTACTTGGACTTCTTGTATGCCTTTTCATAACAAAATGTGTAGAAGAATTCCACCAAGAGTTCATAAGCTGTATAAACTCTTTTATGTTACAGAGAATTTGTCACCAGTTAGACTTTGTTTAGGTTGACAATTGGTGACCTAAATATATTTTTAGTCCCCGTTCGGACGAAGTCCGAAAACAGGGACTTATAATTCGGTCTCCATCCGTTCGTGCGTCCGCCCGGAGTCATATCTCAGAATTCCTTGGACCGATTCCGTTCATTCTTTGCATGTGCCTTGTACTTTATGTGGGACATATGCACACGCAGTGGTTTAGCGATTCGATTCAAAATGGCCGACTGGCAGCCATCTTGTTTTTTGAAAATGTTGTATTTTGGACATGCTTTGTCAGTTTTCATTCAAACTTGGTACATAGATTATACATGTTAGGATACATGTCCATGACAATTTATTTCACAATTGGATCAAAGATGGCCGACTGGCAGCCATCTTGGTTTTTGAAAATTTCTTATTTTGGACATGCTTTGTCAGTTTTCATTTAAATTTAGTACATAGGTCATACATGTTAGGATATATGTCCCCGAACGTCTGCGAGTTACTAAGTCTGTCCATCCGTCCGTGCGTCAGTTTCTCCAGAGTCATATTTCAGAATCCTGTGGACCGATTCCATTCATTCTTTGCATGTGCCTAGTACCTTATGTGGGACATATGCACATGCAGTGGTTTAGCGATTCAATTCAAAATGGCCGACTGGCAGCCATCTTGTTTTTTGAAAATGTTGTATTTTGGACATGCTTTGTCAGTTTTCATTCAAACTTGGTACATAGATTATACATGTTAGGATACATGTCCGTGACGATTTATTTCGCAATTGGATCAAAGATGGTCGACTGGCAGGCATCTTGTTTTTTTTTTATGCGGTATCTCAAGTATGTAAATGTATGGTAAAACGGCCATTGCGAGCGTCGCTGCGAATTCGCAATGGCGAAAAAACAGGCTATTGAGAGTTCGCAATGGCAAAAAAATGACGATTGAGAGTTCGCAATGGCAAAAAAATGACGATTGAGAGTTCGCAATGGCAAAAAAACTGACGATTGAGAGTTCGCAATGCCACAAAAACAGTTGACTGAGAGTTTGCAATGCCACAAAAACAGTTGACTGAGAGTTCACAGTAACACATAAAACAAAAGGCTGATTTATATTGTTGAGCGTTGCCGCAGTGGAAAATAGAAAACAGTTTTGAAACGTCGTGTGAACCATCAGAGGTATGACGACAGTCAACCAATGGTAGATGTGGATTCACGCAACTCTGTCCCGTTGTTCTATGGTCTAATCTACGATTGTCGTGAAAAATTTAGTCAATTCAGTTCTCGGGATAGTTGTTTATTTGAGGTGTTACTAATCACTTGCATATGTTGCAGAAATCCTCGTAGTTTATTTATTTACAAGCTAACACTATTACTTTATTTTCGCTTGGAATTTATTTTCGCTGAAAGGATGATTCCGTGAACATAAAATCCAGCGAATATACTTTTTTTCCTATATTTCACATTAAACTCATCAAAAATCAGTGAAAATAAATTCCATACAAAACGCCCAAAAAGTCTTTTCAGCGAAAATAAAGTATTCCACAGTACTTTATACATGTTAGGATGCATGTCTATGACAATTTGTTTCAAAATCTGGTCAAGGATGGCCGATGGACAGCCATCTGACTTTTTGGCCATAATTTATGTACCATTTTCATTCGTATTTGGCACATACATCATACATATCAGTGTGTTTCATAATCAGATCAAAGATGGCCGAATAACGGCTGTTTTTATTTTTGGCCATATTACTTATACATGGAACACATGTTTTGATGTAAATAAACAATCTGTTGTATACGCCACTTGGAACTCAAGTTTCAAGGACACGCTTGCGACAACCCCTCCGCTTTAATATGATGAGCACAAAGAGAACTTTCAAAAATTTAACGGGGAGTGTGTCATTTTCAATGACTTGTTTAATCATAAATGGCGACCAATTTTTTTTTTTAGAAAATTGTGTAAAACTTGTTGACATGCGAAAATACACATGCATTATCATGATGCAAGAAATTTCCACTACCACTTGGTTTAGCTCAAATGGTGAAATTTTGGTTATGGAGCCTATTCTCATTTTACTATAAATGCATTCAGAATACCGTTGTAGTGGCACTTTGTTTGTATGATTTGGTGTGCTCTTGGATTCAGTTCTTAAAAAATTCACGAAAAATGATAATGGTTTAATATAATAACAATAAACCATCACCAGACCACTTTTTTACACAGAAGCACTCCATATATGAACTTGTAGGCGCTTGTTTGTATATGTTGTACTTGTGGTATACCATCCAGATGATGGTTTATTGCTTTATTATAACTTCTGTGACAAGTTCCAGTTTTAATCATTTAGTTACAAATTGGCAACATGTTTTTGTTGTGTAGGAGGTATTACCACCCGCTCCACCACCATCATCTTCTGCTGGTCAGAGTCACATAAGTAGTCTTGCTGTACCACCGCACTCGCTGGCTGCCTTTGGGTTATTCCTACGACTACCAGGATATGCTGAGGTGTTGCTGAAAGAGAGGAAGAAAGCTCAGTGTTTACTAAGACTTGTACTAGGTGTCACTGATGATGGAGATGGAGGTAAAGAAAATATTAATCTTCAAACTGTTACAGTTCTATTGTTCTATGATTAGTGATTTCCTCTCATTATTACTTATCCTCAGTAGGAAATTATGGCATATACATGTGTGCTACTTTCTTTTCAGGTCATATTTTGTCGTCTCCACTCGCATCATCGTTACCAACTTTACCATTCCATGTGCTGAAGACTTTATTTGATAGTACCCCACTGACCACTGACGATGGCGTTTTGTTGAGGCAAATGACATTAGAGATTGGTGCTGTACATCTTATACTGGCTTGTTTAGCTGTATTAAGTCATCATGGTCCTCGAGTCTCATCTGGAGTCCATGGTCAACAAGAGGTAAGAGAATTCACTGCAAGAGAGACAACATCGGCGCAGCTCTTAGGTGTCTTTTCTATTTGTTTGCTTCATCCTATTGCTACAAAATAAGCTTGCTGTCATTGTTTCAATAATGTCTGCAATCCAATTTTATTTTGCAATTTTTTCCATCGTCTGTTTGCTTCGAGTTTGCTTGTTGTTTAATTGTCTGGCCATGCTATGTAGCTGTTGGTTACCATAACAGCGTTACAGTACATGGAATGGGACCAGTGCACAGTAAGTAAGCTATTTACTAGTGGTTTCTCAACTGAGGTTATTAAGTTTCCCTCTGTGGGGTTTTTCTTCTTGGAATTTACAATTTCAGTTGTTTGTGATGCAGACCCAGCCTCAGCAACCAATACAGCAGAGCAGTACAGAGAAGTCGCAGAATTACTGGGCTAAAGGTACTGGTTTTGGTACAGGATCCACTACCTCAGGGTGGGATGTGGAACAGGCCCTTAACAAACAGAAGGCTGAAGAGGAGCATGTCACATGTTTATTGCAGGTGCCTATGTTAAATTGATTCTTTTTATCACTTTATTTTCTTCTAAATTGAGCATGGTAATGAATGATACTTGCATATATAGTGACCATAGTGTTAATTTCTTTCAGGTGCTGGCCAGTTACATTAACCCTGGTGGTGAGAAACCAGGTGAAGATGAGGACATAGAGTGGGGCAATATGGAACAACTAAACACTATATTTCCACACTTGTTAATTGAGTTACTCAGTGATTCATGTCTGATACCTGCGATATCATCGTATCTAAGAAATGACTCAGGTATGACTTGTGTAACTACTGCTCCTATCTGGAAGCAACATTGACTTTACAGTGAGCAAGTCATTCGCTCTGAATCAAAGGATATTTTTAATTTTATTGCCTACTCATCTTAATGTTATAGAATTGTAAATGCATGTTGATGTCATTTCTGATTTCCATTTCAGTGCTGGACATGTCCCGTCATGTACCTTTGTATCGTGCACTATTAGAACTACTACGCGGCATGGCATTATGTCCACTGTTAGTGCCACTACTATTGCCTCTACAAGGTGGTGTCGACAGCGATGATGAAGACGCACCAAATGAAAGTACTGTATGTGTTAGTAGTCTACTCGAGAAAATGCAATCTTGTGTTGACACTTATACCAGCAGGTTAAAGTAAGTGAAAGTCCATTTATGCTTTAGCTGAAATACTTAGATTTTCTGTCAATACACAGTGTTTATAAAATACTGCACACTGGGTCTGTAGTGTAATAGCGTTAATTAATTTTCTGACTTCATTGAATGTTACTCCAGATCCAACAAAGAGAAGATTAGCAAAGGCCGGAAACCAGAGCCAATGACTGCTGAAGAAGAATCTGAATCAGAAGGACTTGCTTTATTAGTACCAGACATGAAGGGAACTATGAAATTAGTTCAGAAATCTATAGAGAAACTGAAAACCATGGAAGGTGAGTTGTTGGTGCACGTATTGTGTAGGATCATAACAGACTAGAACACTGGTTTTGGGTGTAATGGTTATCATGTCTGAGTTTGACTCTTGAAGTTGGGTACCCACTCAGCAGTGACAAAAAAAAAATACTGTATTCGGCTAATTTTCTGGAATCACAGCAACCTGTGTTGGAAGAATGGCGGAGGGGACATCATAAAGCTGTTGGTTACCTTTTAAATTTCAGTTCTCAGTGCATGTAAAAATCACAGTATCTTTGCGTAACTAGGATCACCACAGTAGCTGAAATTTCCGTTCACCTCAGCCTAGCCAACTTGGAAATAGGGAGTTACTACTATTTACAATATTAATATGATTTTTAGGTGACTCCTGATAATATTATTTACAAATTAAATTATGCACATATGACTTGTATGTGAACAAGGTCTGAATCGGATATATGATATATATATATGATAGTTTGTTATTGAAGTAACTTTGTTATTAGTCCCTGTTCGGACGCAGTCCGAATACAGGGACTTATGTTTTGACCCTTCTGCGTTCGTGCATGCGTCCCAGACCTGTATTTTAGAAATGCCTGGACCAATCATAATCAAACTTTACACATACATCATACATGATATTATACATATGCACATTATTTGGTTTGACGATCCTAAAAAATCATCAAATATCAAGCATTTCTGGCATTTATGGATGGATTTCATTCAAACTTGGTACATACATTAGACATTACGGGTTCCTGATGCACATCATTTTATCTTTCAGATCGGATTCAAAATGGCTGACGGACGGCCATTTTGTTTTAATGATTGGGCTTTTAGAGCCATATCTCTGACATGCTTTGACTGATTATGTTCAAATTTTATATATTCGTTATACATCATGTTATAGATATATACATGTATTCAAAATGGCTGATTTTGAATGATGTTCCAGAGCAATATCTCTCAATATGGACAAGTACTTGTTTGATGATCAGATACAAATGTCAATCATTTTAGTGTTAAAAAAAATCATCATAATCATATTCCAGCTATATGACTATAATCAAAACTATGTATCTTAAATTCGATAACTAACGGGGACTGTACCATGCATGGCTTGTTTATAGTGAGATAAATTGTACATGATTATATGTTGACGTTCATCGGTGAGTTCTTTGTTTTTCTTTGACAGGAAAGAATAGTACTGATGGTAGTGGTCTAAACTCTGTTGGTAGATTATTGCATTCAAAACCTAAAGTTCCACTTCAAGAAAGATACATAGAAATAATGAGAGAGTTACAGTTTGGTAAGTAGAACAACAATCATAGCATTATAGTATAAAAATGTATTCATAAATAAGCAATGTTCCAAATGTAACTTGTGTTGCATAACAAATTCACAGTTTTTCCCTCTTGAATATTTGTAATGCCTTTCGAAATAGTAGCTGGCCAGTTTTGCCAAACAACTGCTTTTGTCATAGAGCAACCAAATATGACAACTGTACCTACTTTTTCACTGAATTTAAAAATGTTTTTTTATTTGCGCAGCTAAATCCCAATATGAAAATTAATAAAATATTGGGTTGAGCAATTCAATGGGTAAAAAACAACAAACTTTTATTAAACAATTGTATTTTCACAACCACCTATTCTGTTATGTGTGGTACAAGTGTGTGACTACAACTGTTCATTATTTCTTCTTTCTTACAGACACGTTTGTAATGATTACTGATGACAGCTCTGGCAAATTGCTATTTAATGTTCCTCACCGATACACATCAAATATTAAATCTTCTGGTGATGGCAGTAATGCTGCCCGTGCGAGACGCCTGGCTCAGGAAGCTGTCACATTGTCAACATCTCTACCTCTATCCCATAATTCCAGTGTATTTGTTAGATGTGATGAAGACAGACTTGATGTTATGAAGGTAAAAATTTTGTAGTGAGAGTTCACTCTCTTTAGATGTTTACACTTTATATACTACCAGCATTCTTAGATAACTATAAGAACTTTTGAGGTAATTCACCCAAGTGGAGTTTGAAGTGTAGTATTGAATTTTGTTCTCTTGTCGCAATTACTGTTTAAGGTGCTGATTACTGGTCCATCTGAAACTCCTTACGCCAATGGTTGTTTTGAATTTGATGTCTATTTCCCACAAGATTACCCACAATCCCCCATGCTGATTAATCTGGAGACGACGGGACAAAATAGTGTTAGATTTAACCCCAATTTATATAATGATGGAAAGGTGAGTTTTGACTGAGTCAATCACTGCTAGTTATGGTAGATGCTTCTAGCTTATAATTAAATTATTCACTTTGCACAATTTTCGACATAGTGAAAAACATTAATAGTGGTGTCCTGTGTTTTTTGAGTTTCAATTGCATCTAAACATTTCCAAGAGTCTAACCAGACCTTCAGCTCATTTCAGTTTACTCACTAAATCTTGTTTCCAAACATTAGGTCTGTCTAAGTGTATTGAACACATGGCATGGACGACCAGAAGAGAAATGGAATCCACAAACATCAAGCTTCTTGCAGGTAAGTTAAGTTAACCTCTTCAGTCTGTCAAAGTCTATTGGACATTCAAGAATTGAACAGTGTTTACTTGTTTATCTTTACAGAATTTTTTTGATAATTTTATTGTGTGCTTTGATTGCAGGTGCTGGTGTCTATACAATCTCTCATCCTAGTAGCCGAACCCTACTTCAACGAACCAGGTTATGAGAGATCTCGTGGTACACCATCCGGGACTCAAAGTTCCAGGGAATATGATGCCAATATTAGACAAGCCACAGTTAAATGGGCTATGCTGGAGATGGTGAAAAATCCTTCCCCATGCTTCAAAGATGTAGGTAGTTTGCTATCTATCACTGTAAAAGTCGCCCTTTTCTCTAGTGAAAAGAATAACCCTTTATAGCCCAAGTCCAATAAAACAAAATTTGTGGTATCCATAAACTTATGGTATTAAATTGTCAGTGTTTGCCCAAAAGGATTGTCATGTAAGTCTCTTGAAAGCGATGTACATTGTGTGAATGGAAAAGACGTTTTCCATATTTTACAAACATTTTATAGGCTTTCAAAGCTAACTTAAAAGCCTACAATACAGACAAACTAAAGTTGGCGTTGATAAAAACATGTCCAATACTGCATATTGTTGCTGATGGGAATCTACATCAACTTCAACCACCACCCCTTTTACTCACACGGTAGCTAGGTAATTAGAGAGAACCTTAACTGGCTATTGTGTCTTGATGTTTTGTATTTCAGTGTTAAATCATCAGTTCAACTCTTCTTTTTGATTTGATTTATCTCACTGAATTGCCAAAATTGTCACTCAATTTTTATGATAACAACTTCCAATTTTTCTGTGTGGATGATGATTAATAATGTCCCATACATTGCATCAATCTTGAAAAACTATCCACATACATAATGATTTAATGTATTGTCTGGCTATACAATTGTGAGTGGACTCAAAATATGGTTTGTGTACTAATGGCAATTGGATTCCTAGCTTATTATATCTCAAGTGAAATTCTGAGAATAAAAAAGATTACAATTGTTCGTTTATTTACTTTAGGTTATAGTAAAACATTTCTACATTAAGAAACGAGAGGTTATAGCCCAATGTGAAGCTTGGATTCAAGAAACACAGCAATACTGCAATGATAAGAGAGTGGGCAGGACAATGTCACATCATTTAGCTGCATTGAAAGTGAGTAACTCATATGGTTACCTTAGTACATTACATTACATTGCATGTGCATAAATATAGAACTGCCTGTTCCAAATGACAATGTTTTTCTCTTTTGAAGATAATTCTAATTATAGCGAATACTTATGACAGAGCTCCCCTACACAAGTGGAAATATGCATACACCACATGCACTGACTGACACTATGTACACTTAAATAACCTTCTGGCATGTCTATTATTTAATGAATATGCATACACTGTGTTTGTACTTGGTACACAGACAGTATTCCATACATGTTTGTTACACGCATACCCTGACAATGTTTTTTCAAATTCAAGACAACTGACTGGTGACTATTTTTTACTCCCGTGTGCGAAGCACAAAAAGGGAGTCTTTGCAGTTAGTGTGTCTGTCTGTCTCTGTGTGTGTGTGTGTGTCTGTTCCACTGATATCTCAAGAATCATACATTGATTTTTGACGAAACTTGGTGCATAGATGCTCTGGACCAATGCGCAGATTTGATTAGGTTTTGGTAAAAATCCATGCATATTAATTACCTAATTTGCATGATAATTAGCTGATTTTTAGCTGTTCCATGATTGTTCCACTGATATCTAAAGAACCACTCATTGGATTTTGATGAAACTTGGCACATAGATGCTCTGAACTAATGCGCAGATTTGATTAGTTTTGGGTAAAAATCTGTTTAATATTAATTACCTAATTTGCA